AGTACCATCTGTAGTAAACACTCATCTCATGGGTTTATTGTTTATCACTTGGATGGCCTAGTGGGAGCAAAGTTTTATCAGTATGTTAATTAGTTCTTCCATTGTTGTGGCAAATAACTGGAACAACTTAAAAAAGGAAAGATTTATTTTGGCTCATGAGTTCAGAGGTTTCAATCCAAGGTCATTGGGTTCTGTTGTTCCTGGGCCTGGTAGAACAAAGCACCATGATGGGAAGCATGTTGCAGGGTAAAGCTATTTATCATGGCAGTCAATAAGCAGAGAGAGAGAGAGAGAGAGAGAGAGAGAGAGAGAGAGAGAGAGAGAGAGAGAGAGAGAACTGACACACAGAGGGGATAGACCCATAAAACAAAGCCAAACAATGTGAGTTCCACCCTGCGCACACACAAGAAGGAGAGAGAGAGAGAGAGAGAGAGAGAGAGAGAGAGAGAGAGAGAACTGACTCTCAGAGGGTAAAGACCCATACCACCAAGCCTAACAACCTGAGTTCAATCCTCAGTACTCACAAGATGGAAGGAGAGAACTGATGCCTGCAGTTGTCTTCTCACCTCCACATTCCCACAGTGATATGTGCATAACCACACATATCTGCACACACACACATGAATAAACAAACAAATACACAAACACATAAAACTTTTTAAAGAGAGAAAGAAAACAAGACCAGGGACATCAGAGCTCCTAGGACACACCCCTAGTAAACCACTCTCTAAAGTAGTCCCTACCTCCCAATATGCCATCATATTATAAAACCATCAACGAATTAATCCACTAAGTAAGTCAAGAGTACTGAGGACCCAATCACTTCCCAAAACCCCATCCACTGCCAACCAAGCTTCCAAAGCAGGAGGTTTTGGGGACATCTCAGACGCAAACCATAACAATCATATAATTATATGTTGTGGTTACTAATTTTTTTACATTATTTATTTATTCATTTGTTGAAAGAGAGAAAGAGAGAGAGAGAAGGGGAGAGAGAGAGAGAGAGAGAGAGAGAGAGAGAGAGAGAGAGAGAGAGAGAGAGAACGGGAGGACAACTTGCTGAGTCAGTTCTCTCCTTCTACCACATGTGCTCTGGGGATCAAACCAGATCCTTTGCTGCCAAAGGTCTTTGATATTTCAGTTTTACTTTTTTATTTACTTAATTTTTGATGCTGGGTATTAAATCTAGGATGTTATGCATGTTAAGCTGCACTCTACCACTAAGTTATATATAACATCTGTAACCTCAGCTTTCTCATGCTTTTTTTTAAAATGAATCAAGATCTCCACCCCCGACCCAAACTGGAACACATATATTTTTCTGAATTCAAGCTATTGGTTTAGCAAAGTTTTTTATTTTTAAGTATATTTTTATTGAGTTTTGTGCATTTCTTATAATAGATCTTAATCAAATTTAGATCCCATTCCCCATCTGTACCCCTGTACCCCCATACCAGATTTCATGCATTCTGTCATATATGGTAAGGCCTATCTGGTCAAGCATTTATACTCAGATGTCCCTTGGTGCAAGTTTATCCACTGGAGCCTGGTCAGCCTATCTAGAGGCACTCCCTTAAATAAGCTCAACTCTCCCTCACCCCTCAGTAATCAGTTGCCAATAGTTCCTTGGCTAGGGTTGGGTCCTGCTGCCCATTTCCCCAGTTCTATGCTGGGTTTTTGTCTGACTGTGTCAGCATGGGCTTATGCATGCTGTCACCATTGCCACACATGGCTGGAGAGGTCATAGATCCTAGAGCTCATGGGATCAAAGGCATGTGCCACCACACACAGCCTTCATTATTATACTTGGAATTTTATCAGTAAAAGTTTATAGTAATTTATTTCTCTCTTGTTATAAAAGTACCTATACAGGAGCTGGAGAGATGGCTCAGCAGTTAAGAACACTGGTTATTCTTGCAGAAGACTTGGGTTCAAATCCCAGCACCCACATGGCAGCTAACAACTGTCCAGATCCCAGGGGATCCGACAGCTTCTTCTGACCTCCACGGACACTGCACAACATGGGTGCACTTACCTACATGCAGGCAATACATGCATATACATAAAATAAAAATAATAATTTTTTTTAAAAAGTACCTATACAGTACCCTAGATTTTTGTCTGTTGGTCTAAAAGTCTTAAAATAGTGACTGTCTGAACCTGCACAGAAAAACAGCTGCTCTGCTATAGAGTAAGAACACCCCTTCCACAATAGCCAACATTTTTTCAAGACATGAAGAGAGTTTTCTGCTCCTTTTTCTTTCACTCATCTGTTTTTGTCCAAAATAGAAAAGACAGTGGGGGGGGGGTAAAGCAATGTGAGCCAAACCTCTCAACTAAGAGCCTTTGAGGGAATGGCTTAGATTCAAACCATACAATCATGTTTTGTTTTGTTTTGTTTTGTTAAATTCTTTTTGGTGGTCTATACAGGAAACAAAATTTTAACTGAATTTCTTGATGACATTTGAGCTAAATAGTAAATAAAAACTGAAATTACAGGTTGATAAGAGAACTCAGTGGATAAAGGTGCTTACTGTGCAAGACCGACAACTAAGTTCAATGTATCCCACGGTCTACGGGTGGAGGACAGAAAGAGCACCTCCAAGTGTCCTCTGACCTCCACATGTACATCTACACATGTGCACACACAAAATAAATGCAAAAACAGATGAAAAGGAAAAGAAATTGTCTGGGGGAGTCAGGCATGGTGGCACACCAGCAATCTGAGCACTTGGGAGGTAGAGGCAGGAAGATCAAAAATACAAAGTCAGATTTTGCTGCATACTCAGTTCAAAGCCAGTCTAGGCTACAAAAGAGACAGACAAGGTGCTCAAGAGATGGCTCAGTGGTTAAGAGCACTGGCTGTTCTTTCAGAGGACCCAGATTTGGCTCCCAGCACGCACATGGCAGCTAACACCATTCATAACTCGTTCCAGGGGATCTGACATCCTCTTCTGACCTCCGCAGGCATTGTACAACATGGGTACACTTACGTACATAGAGGCAAATACACGAAGAAATAAAATAAAAGTAAAACATTTTAAAAAGTGTATTTTACTGATATATTTTTTAACTTTGCATATTTTATTTGCTTTGTCTCATACACATAAAATAAAAATAATTTTCAAAAGACAGACAAGCAAACTGACAGAAATTAGCTGAGGGCAAACGGGAGAGGTGGAAATACCATTATAAACAAATGGGAAAAGGTGTACAAAAACACAACACAATGAAAAAGCACGGAAAACTGAGGATGACAGACTCTCAAGGGCCTCACAAGCTAAGATAAGGAGCTAGGTTTCAGCTTGTAAAGGGGTGTGAAGAGGGTGGACTGAGGAAGAAACAACAGCAGAAGTATGGGAAAATGGGTATGAGAGACTTCTACTAATGCTCAAGGCAGTTGTCTTCATTGCTGACTACTTTGTACATTTAGAGTACAGGAAGATATCATGTTTCTAATGCTAACCAGATCCTGACCATTACAAAACAGTCACCCCGTTTGTGAGGGTCAGCTCACTGTGGCCACAAAAAGTTGAGTCTGACCTCTCTTCCCCACAAACTCTGTGATGGGCAGAGTCCTTCCTAAGGGAAGCTCTGGTGTTCAGTAGCAGCACAGTCTGTCCTTGAGTGTGGGCATGACCTGACTGATCTCATCAACTCAACATGGCAATAGTAAAGGGATTTTGCAGATGTAATTTAGTCTCCAAATCAGTTTGTTTTGAATTAACCCAATGGAAACTGAGGTAACCTCTGGCCAACAGGCCATCAGAAAAGCCCAGGGCCCTCAATCATCTAACTGAAAGGAACAGAATTACCACAATGTGAGTATGAACTTGAAAGCAGATTCCTTTCTGTAACCGAACATTAGAACAGACAGTACTGTCACATTGAGCATAGCCTGTCAGACCCTGAGCAAAGCACAAGCTACTGTGACTAGAACTCCTGAATCCAAGACACTACTTTTCAGACTATGAGCTACTTTTTTTCTGAAGGTTTTAGCATTACATTTTTATCTTTTTGTGAGTCTCACTTTTGTTACTTCTAGTGCTTTCCTTCGTCTGTTGAGCAAAACCTTCCTCTTCTCAAAAACCATCCCTAACTCTTCACATTACAGAGATCATTTTACAGCAATCCCCACGACTACAGCAGCGGTGCTGCTGTCAGCAGAATGAGTGCTCCGTGAACACGGGGATTTCTTCGTAAGGCCCGAGTTCTCCGTAGTCACTGGCTATAAAGTTTCAGTCAACCTTTAATGACCTGAAAGTGAAAGAAGAGCTGAAGAGATGCCCGAAGGCTCTGGGCTCTTTCTGCTAAGCCTTATGAACTGAGTTCAAGCCCCAGGACCCATAGTGGAGAGAACTCACTCTTGGAAGATGTCCCTGACGTCCACATGCACACCATGGTCCATGCATGCCCACACACATACAAACGAATAATGTAATTTAAAAAATAAAAGTGAAAGGAGATACAGTAAGATGAATGCATAGAAACTTAGACATTGTCTTGTCCCAATGCCTTCATTTTTTCATTGCCTAAGTAATCTATGCTGCTTTTCCCTTATGGTTTTAGAAGTAATATTACAATTTCTTTCCTTTTTATAAAGTACAAAGAGATTCATCCATATTTAAGTAGTGGAATTAAAAACGATACCATCTTTAGGGCTAGCCCCTCCTGTTATGCCACAGTTATGTAATAGGACACTATTATCACAGGACTAATATGTAGTAGGCAATTTAGAGTTTCATAACAAAATGGAAATCATTTTTATTTTTAAAATCTACCACATAAACTTCAAATTTAGAAATTATTTTTAAGTGTCAATCATACAAAGAATATTTCAAAACTACTATCAGGAAAATGGTGCAGGGTGCACAAAATGTGCTCGGTCTTGTTAAGAGATGTTATTTTGACAACCCAAGGAAAACACAAAGGCTTCTGAGGTGTTCCAACAGAACTTTCCTTTTCTAAGTGAGGCATGTAAATGAAAACAACCTATTTACCTTAAAGATTCAGATAACGGTGGTGAAGTGCCATCTCCCCTATCTATTACACGAAAGAAATTCAATTGACCTCCTTCCCGAGACACCAAAAATGTAACTTGTTTGTTGCAGGTCTTCTCCCAGACCTCATCTCGACTGGAATCCATGTACTCAGCAAGCTCCCTAAGTGGATCTTCCAAAGGAACTACAAATGGAAAGATTGATAAACAAGCTTTCAGTTCAGATCAACACTTTTGCAACTTGGTACAGTAATAGGATATAATGCTGAACTCATACAACCACACTGCACATATGCTATCTTCCAATCCCTTTCTGATCATACAGCATTCCTTATTTTGTATTAATATCAAAGAAAAAATGCATCATTATGTTGCATGACCAAAGACAGGGCTTAACTAAGATCGTGAGGTGCCCTTTCTTCCTGCGAAGGTACTGACGACCTGCTAGTTCTCTGGCATTGTCATCTGTATTTTAGCTATACTCTTTCTGCTGCCTGTGTTTTTAAATACTGGTTCCAACAATCAGTAACTCAGAAGCAGTATAAATCCCACTTGCTTTATATTATGAGATAAACACACATGCACAAACATTGGGAGACATGCTTGAAATGAGATGCAAAGGTGAGCTGGGCAGAATGCAGTGGGAGAGTCTGTATCCATGGTCAGGGTTCCATATCCAGCAGCGAAACAAACAACAAAACAAAGTGACAAAAAAAGAGAAAGCAAGCAAATCTTGTGGCCACTCCTTGAGGTATCTGAGCATACACAAGCAAAACGTGAGACGGTCTGTTAGTGCACTAAAACTGCATGTGTAAAAGGGTCAGTATGTCATTTCTTGGAAGGATCTCCCCATGACCCAAGAGGCCGGGTAGGTGTGTGTGGCTGACTGGAGTTACTCCGAAGCTCCCCATAACCGGTAGGCTCCAGTGGTCTGCAGTTCCCCTCAATTTTCCAAGCTGTGAACACTTATTAGCAAAACTAGAATGCCACACTGGCCTGAAGAAGTGGTGCCATCAGGACACACAACTGAGCAGGAGAGTACTTGCTGAGCATATGTAAAGCCCGGGATCCAACACACACACACACACACACACACACACACACACACACACACACACACACAAAGCAAAGTAGAATCAAATATATAAACAGAAATACCAACAGAAGCTATGTGAAGTGTCATTTTATATTTACACGTTTTATGGTTGTGAAAGAGCAAATCAAAATATTTAACTTTATAAAAGAAGCTACATCTTATATTTCTGTGATTCAGCATGCAAGGCCAGGGCAGAGTGAGGCTGTGTGGTTGGGGGTAGGGCCAAGCCCAGGGCGATAAGAGGGTGGCGTACTGGCCTTCCTGACAACTCACTTTTGTTCCACCTGGCCAAAGGCAGCTATTTCTGTGCTCTGGCCCAGCTGCTGAGTAAACGTGCAAACTAAAGGCGTGTATGCAAGGCAGAGTGAGGGCTCTCTATAGCCCAGAGCTGGAGCATGGGCGAAGGGCCACCTTTGCTCCACAACAGTGGATGGGTAGAGGGTCCATGGTCATCATGTAGCTGTATGTACCCTTGACTTTAAAAAAAAAAAAGGCTTCTCTTTTGCCCCCAAGCCCCAGATAACTATGTCATTTCAGTTCTAAGTAATTAGGGACAGAACTCTTCCTCTCTAGTTGAAAGTTTCCTAAGACAGAAAGTATATCTTAGCAACACTCAGGACTCTGGGGTCTCAGTGAGTGCATGTAAACATGAATGGATGAATAAGCAATTTTCTTGTTTTCTTCACAGAAAGTTTAAAACACTTACGTCTATTTCAAATAACAGGAGGGAGCAGAGAGGCTTGGAACCCTTGGCCATAACCGTGGGCACCAGCACAGCCTTTGACATGAGGTCTTCAGGTAACTGCCTTTCTAACTCCAAGCCAAACCTGAGTAGAATTTAAAAATCATCCTGGCCCAGAATACTAATAAAGACTCTAATATATATATAAAAAAATCAAACAAACAACAAAAACCCCAAATCAAACCAAACAAAAAACCCCCTTGAAAGAAGAGATACTAAAATTTAAAAAATGAGGGGGGTTATTAAAATTATACTTTATAAATAACAGCAGCGGTCAAAGGCTAAAATAAATTTGTTTTTCTTTTTTGAGCCATGTAGCCCCAGCTAGCCTAGAACTCACTATGTAGACTAGGCTGGCCTCCATCTCATGGAGATCCAACTGCCTCTGCCTCTTGAGTGCTGGGATTAAAGGTGTATGGAACCACATCAGCCTCTAAGATATTAACAACCATAAATCAGACTAACTGGGCTAGGTAAAGGTTCCACTCCTATTCAGATCAGTCTTAAAGCGCTCTCTCTCTCTCTCTCCCCTCTCTCACGCACGCACGCACCCCAAAATGGGTAAATTAAACCAGAAAACTCGGAATACTTGAAGGAGAGGGGCTGATCTAGAGTCTGCCTTCCTGTGGTATACAGTGATCCTCACCAACTAAATACCAAGGAAGGCCTCTATGCAGCTTTCTGATGGTTTCACAAGGAAAATTCTCCTGGGGAAATGAATGTTCATTGTCCTCGGCAAAAGTAGGCAACCTTAATAGTAGGCAGTCACCATTAGCTAAAAATAGATGATGATGTTTTGCTCCTCCCTAAACACTTACAGTCCCCCTTATCCCTACCATATTCTGTGATCCTAAGAGGTTATAGGAAGACACAAAATTAGAGAAAGTTCTCTCCTTCCCTTTCACTTTGGGCATCACATACCTCCCCTATCTCCCAAGGCTAATTGGGAACTTTCTGGCCAAGAGGCCAGTACCTTCTTGTTAATCACTTGTCCAGGTTGTTTAAGATTATGAAGTTTTTGAAGTTTTTGAAAAAAATTCTTAAAGCCCCCCCCTTTTTCAATAAGAGAAAATATGCTGACTGATTTTTTTCAGGTGGTCTGCTTCTATTTGCAGACATATACAAACTGATGAGGAGATAAGCTTTCAAGCAGTTGGTCGCCCCAGATCTAGCCAAGGGCATCTCAAATTAGACATAGGTAAAGGCAGATACTTCTGTCAGTTTGATGCTGCTTGATCCTGAGTACAAACTGTCATGCACCCATGACCTTATAAAGTTTAAAAATTACACAGGGCGATCTTTTAAAATCAAATGTTCTGTCTCTAACACTCTAAAAAATGCTTTATCTTTTGTCAGTCTGTGTTCCCAACACACGACCAAGTGGCTAAGCCTCATTTGAACAACTCTCTATAGGTTATAGGAAACAGATGCTTCAGGTCTAGCCTGTTACTACTGGACTTACAGCAAGTCTCTTGTGCAATGTAAACCACTAGGTTCCTTTCCTCTTCTCTGATCCTTCAAAAAGTAACATTTTGTTATCTTCAGATTCACAGAGAAGTAAAAGCCTTTTGTGTATACATTACTATTGTTTATTTCATAATATAAAAATACTTGTAATAAAGATAACTAATGAAATATTCATCCATGGAGAAGACAGGGATGGTTTTCTGCCTAAAAGTCTCTCAATTTTAACAGGGCTTCCTTAGGTAATTTCTGGGAGATGCTGTAAACACAGATCGAAGGATATTTTGCTGCCTCTATGATGCTTTTGTCTGCTACTTTTTTTTTGGTCTTTTTGAAACAGGGTCTCCCTGTAGCCCCAGCTGTCCGGGAACTCACTATGTAGACCAGGCTGGCCTTGAACTCACAGAGATCCGCCTGCCTCTGCCTCCTGAGTGCTGGGATTAAAGGTGTGTGCCACCATGCCCGGCTTTGTCTGCTACTTTTGTCCTTAAAAACTAAAACCACAGCTAGGATAGATCATTGTTTGAACTATACAAACGACAAAATAAAGGGAAAAATACCTGGAAACCACAACCAGGAAAATAATAAATATTATTTGACTTCCTAGTCAAGTCCCCTTTACTGGCTCCCACTGGAAACCCTTGATCGATGTCAGAATGGGAATAGAAAAGAAAAATAACTTTTCTAACTGACTATGGGGCTGCTTTCCTAGCTAAACCAAAAAAAAAAAAAAAAAAAAAAAAAAAATGTCTTCTATCACCTAAAACTGCCACTAGAGGGTTGTAACGCGCAGATTGCTGCTTTTGTAGGTGCTTTCTTCTGCCTTTTCTTGTGTGTAAGCAGTATTTTCTCACTTCGAGGTCGTTTTATAAATGTGCCAAGACTCTCAGTAAAATGTAAATTTTTCTTCTATCACTCAAGTTTTTAAGACCACGGAGGATAAATGTAAAGCCCAAGTAAAAAGAAAGTTTGCTTGATATTTACAACAGAAAAAAGTTTAGTAAGATAAACTTAATTTATTACAATGCCATGTATGTTATTTGGATTCAACTATTGTTTAGGAAGCTAAAAAAATAAAGTAGGTTTAAAAACTATTAAAAAGGATGTACATGTAATGTTATAAAATAATATCTTGTCCTAAAATAAAAATAAAAGATGAGAAAACTAAAAGCTTGAAACTGGGGCTGGAGAGCTGGCTCAGTGGGCATTGGCTGCTCTTGCAGAGGACCCAGTTTTGGTTCCCAGGACCCACATGGCAGCTAACCACCATCCCTAGCTCCAGTTCTAGGGGATCCGATGCCCTATTCTGAGCTCCGTGGGCACTGTACATTATACAACATGGGTGCACTTACATACACGCAGGCAATATACTCATACACAGAAAATAAAAATAACAAATAATTTTTTAAAAAAGCTTGAAGCCTAGTTGCAAAAGGTTTAACCTGTATAAGGTTTGTGGAAGATGAGACTTAAGGATGACATATGTTTGATGATTAAATTCCTAAGGTTATACTGATGTACTCATAGCAACGTAAGCTTGAAAAAAAAAAAGCTGTTATTTCTAATTAAGATAATTACTTATGCTTTTGCTAACTTTCCTAGACTTTAACCACTTGGGAAACTGAATCATAATAAAACCCAAATTCATTTAAAACTGCTTAGATTACGTAGTTTCTAGTTTATTTAAAGTTTCACACCAGTTAAAATAAGGCTACTGTCCTGTTCAAATCTGTCCAACAAGACTTGGATAAGAGGGTCAAAGACGACGCCCAGCATTTCAGCCCTCGCCTTCGAAGATCAGCCATAACTCAGGGGACAGTGAGACCTCTCTGACAATCCACCTCTCCTCTTTATCAAAGAGTTCACTGGGTCTCCAGAGATTA